TTTATTCCCTACCACCCACCTTTAACCACTGGAAGACCAGATGTTTACACCCTGTCCAGGCCATTTTTCAGTATTCAGCGCTGAGGTACTTTGACTGACATTTATTCTGTCATGCAAAGATGTACTGAAATGAAATGTATACAATTTTTGGGGGATAGATAGAGCTTTTCTTTTATTTAATCACCACTGGGGTTTTTATTTATTACTATATTAAGGAAAAATTACTGAAAATTTTGAAAAACAAATGTTGTTTTTTTTAACATTATGTTATAATACATTTATTATTACCCAATTTTTTGTTAAAATATAAAAGACGGGGTCATGTCCGGTAAATAGACACCAAACATGTCAAGCTTTAAAATTGCGCACACACGCAAAATAGCAAAAAACTACCATACCCAAAATGTACCATAGGCGATGCTTTAAAAGCTTTTCCTGCTTATCAGTTTAGTGTTATCAGTGATTGCTGGCCCTAGAACTATTGCTCTCACTGTGACGTTTGTGGCGATATGTAACATGTGCGGCGTAATGGGCGCAATCGTCATTTTCGCACGTATGTGCACCCGATGCATGTTTGCACGCGTGTATGTATGGGTGGGGATTTTTTTAAACATTCTTTTTCATGTGTGACTTACATATTTTTTTTGCAACTTTCACTTTTTTTCCTATTTTTTTTTCACTTAACTTTATTGTTATCACATAGGGGGCTGAGACCCCTAATGTCACCTAGGGACCCCCAAAGAAGCTGATGAAGCAGAGATCTGCTTCATCTGTGCGTGGGCGGGGCTAACAGGCATTCAGGAAGCTCCCGGCCGGCCGGTTTCTCCACAACGGCCGGCCGGGAGGCAGTTAAGAAGTGATCTCATAATCATTGGTGGAAAAGGGCACTAGAAAAACCACCCACCGTCACCTTCTTAGAGTCCATTTCCACCTTTGTAAGTGATTAGCATTTATTGTGGTAATGAAGATGTGCAGTCATGATGCATAGATGTGCACATTTTCATGACTCAGACTTTAGGCTTTCCTTAGGCTATAGGAGATCAGAATCATTTAGATGCAATAAAGATTACAAAGGTTTAAAAAAACAAGTATTTTGTTAGAAAGCAATTGTTTATGACACACAGTACTTTAGCAAACTTATGTGCAACTGAAGTCAAAACATTTGGGGGATTAGAACACCTGTCAGTGCTGTTTGTGTACCCATTAGGGAGATTCACAATCTCTATTTGTCACGGTGACTGCTATCACTTAAAGTTCACAAACTTTGAGTTATGACCACAACAGGAGTAGATGGGAAATCTTCCTATAGGGACACTAGTTCTGGTGACCCTGCTGACCACCAGGGATTTCCCTCACATTGGAGGGATTCCACATTGGAGGGATTCCTCTTCCTGTTGTGACTATCAGACGGCTAGTGAAGGAAAATCTCCCCAATAGGACACAGATGGCAAAAAAACCTGACATGAGTTATAACTCTCGCTAACTCTATCCAAAAAAAAACCAAACACTTTGGGCTTTAGTTCTACTTTAATGTAATTAATTTGGGGCTTAAATCTACTCGGGGACTAAAAGCTCCTGTAAAAGAAGATTCATTACAACTGCCTGTCCTGGCACTAATTTGTAGAACCTTTGCTGTGTTGCATAGTAATGCTGCCTGAAGAGCCTTCACATGCAAGACACTTCTTGGTGTGCTGGATGCCTGTCTGCCCCACCTAGCATTTTGCAGTTCCTTCCACCCACTCCTATCTCACTACAGGATCAGCAGGAGAACCCACGGAGCACGTTGGGGGACTCGGGCCTTTCAACACACCCAAAAGTGTGTTGGATGAGAAGATTCTTTGGGTGGCTCTGCTTTACAGTAAACCAAAGATTGTATAAAAGGGTGCTTGGGCAGGTAAGTATAATGTCTCTCCTTTTGCAGGAGCTTCTGGTTTTTAAAGAATTAGTCAACCTGAAATTTCAGTTTGATAAACAAGCTGACAGACTGCATCACCTTTTTAATCTTTTTCAACCTTTCATACACTCCTCAGGTGAGATTCCCATGTGTGCCAACCAGCCTTGGACATTATTATGGAGCTGCAGACACTCTGATTTTTAATTTAATTAAAAATACATTATTATACATTGGAATATGCAGTAGAGGGAATGAGACTATATGCCAGATGGAACAGAGCTGGTAACTCTGCACACTAAACTTTTCAATGGGTTATGGGAGGTAACTCTACTACTAATAAATTATACTCATAATTGAATATTCATTTTGGGCGGGTTGGACAGTCAACTCATTTTTTTGGAAGTAAAAACACCTTCAGAACTTGGAAACAATGGGTCACTTAAAGTGCACAATACTCTCACGGTGCATTATGATAAAAAATATGTCCAACTAAACATACATTCCAAAATAACAATTCTCAAAGGCAACTCAGTCAGGTATCCTTCACTTGCAGAAATGAATATTCTTGTCTACTTCTGTTAATGACAACTAACATCTAGCTGATGCACAGACAGCTTCAAGATTCCAACTAATGCTTAAAGGAGAATTATGAGGCAAGTGAAAATCACTCAGCCTCATAGTTCTAGCCGACCTGTGACAATTAAACTGTCAAAGGTCGACTCAATAGATCGGGAAGTGAGCGAGCACATATCGTCGCTCGCTCACTTCTCGATCTATGCCTGCAGAGAGCCGTGACTGTCCCTGCAGAGATTGCTGACTGGCGGAACGGACGGGGAGGGGGCGGGCACATCTGGCTCTGCCTCTAGATCGGCAGAGCCAGCTGTCAATCCAGCAGCTGGGTGGATCTCGACAGTAATGTCGGGATCCGTCCCGGCTGCAGTGTCTCACCGCATACCGCAAGCTGTAGGTCACGGTATAATGAGCTTTGGGTCACGGGAGGACGCTAGTTTGTGTCCTCCCGTTACCCTTAGGAGAACTGTGGGGAAAAGCCCTGACCCCATAGTTCTCCTTTAAATTAATTATTAGATGAAACCTGCCATTTTGATTTTGCCTAAAGTAATACAGATTTTTTAATTCTTACTTATATGCCTCATTTTATTTAGTTTGAAGTTTTTTCTTTAGAACCTCACCATATTTTTACTGAATTAAACTATTACTAAAGGCTGGGTGTTTTTTACCCTAATGCATTCTTTGCATTAAGGTAAAAAAGCCCAGTACCTTTTTGACTCCTCCATCCCCCTCAACACTTACCTGTCAACACCGCTTGCCACTGGTTCCCGAAGTGATCCTCCGTTCCAAACTTCCTGGTTGTTTGGGAGGATACTGAGGGCAGAGGAGACAAACTGTTGGGCGGAGAGGAGGGGCGTGGCCTGCCGCAGGGCTATGTGTGTCTATGGATGCACAAAGCTACTGCGGGCACAGCTGGGAACGCGCACATACGGGTTATGGGTGCCAGCGCAGCAGCCTCTTAGGTGCTGGAGGCACTCGGGCGGGGGGGGGGAACAAAGTGGGGACCCAGTAGAAAATGAGGAACTGAGAAATAAAAAAACAAAACAAAGATCTGCATTAATGACGGCCTCCCACTGATAAAATAAAACAAAAAAACTAAAGCTTTAATATGACTTTTAGTTTCCTAGTTCAACTACTGCAACAAACTTGTTTTTATCAATTTTTTGGAACCGCAATAAAAAAATGATTGTAAAATAAATTACATTAACATTTTTACATACCATGTCCTGAGTGACAATTTAGTTATCTATACATTTTCATTGGTAGTATATTAGAATGCTTGTTTTTATATCACATTGCTTCAGTTTTAATGTTGCTGCCTTCTTTTGTTTTTGACAGATATGACAACAAAATCCAATTAAGTGTGATTTCGTATACAAAATGGTAAGTAACTAAATTTTACTCAAGAAGTATCACAAAATTTATCAAAATGGATTCTGAAAGGCTAATTCTACCCTTGTTACCATGTTTCATGTTACACCACTATATATAGGGTTATTCACTAAAGGGTGAAGGGTTTGGAGAAGGCAGGAGAAGTGAACAATCTAGGCCAAAATTTGGAGAGCTTCCTGGCCAATCAGGAAGCTGGGCGACGTGTGATTATTTGCCGCCAGGCTTATTGATTGTCCAGGAAGCCAGCTACATGCTGTTTGGCCGGCTCTATGCTAATTGGCCAGGAAGCCAACGATACAGTTGGGAAAACATATCTGGAGGAATTAACAAGTACCGGAAGTCCCATTCAGGAAGCCAGGTGGCGTGTAATGACTTGCCACGTGGTTTCCTGATTAGCCGGGAAGCCGGGCAGCGTGTAAAGACTCGCCACCCGGCTTCCCGATTAACAAATCCCTCAATGCGGATCTCTGTCCCCTCTCACCTCCGCATGTCCAGCCTGTCACCCCCTGGGCCTCTCCAGCCAGGAGCGGCCTTCCTCCGGTACCCAGCCGGAGCCGTCTTGCTGGCCAATCATGGGAGCCGGGCGCCATGTAATGACGTGGCGCACTGCTTTCTGATTGGCTGGCTCCATGCTCCCTCGTCACGGGATGACGATGGGGCATGAAGCCAGCTTCCCGGCCAATCAGAATGCCGGGCACATTACACAGCGCCCGGCTTCCTGATTTGGCCAGCTTCCTGACCAATCGGGAAGCCGGGCAGCGCGTCCTTACACGCTGCCCGGCTTCCTGATTGGCCGGGAAGTCAGCTCCATTCTCTCTCATTACAAGTGACGAGCGAGCATGGAGCCTCTTCCCGGCCAATCAAGAAACCGGGCAGCGTGTAATGACACGCTGAACGGCTTCCTGATACAGGAAGTATCGGACTTGGCATCGGAGCATTTGGGCGAGTACGATGCCTATGAAAACAACCCAACTATTCCCTTATCCCTATAAAAAGTATAACATGGTGAAAAATAAAATGCTAAAGAAAACTGTATATGAGAATAACTAAGTCATCTTATTATACAGTATTTGTGTCTTATTACAGTATGTTTTGTATAGTAATGTGTATAAAAAGCTATCACTGATGTTTTTTTGTTTTTCAGAGTTATCAGCTGGAACGCAACAATAAGGTGGTCCTAACTGGCCAACCTGGAAGCATCTCTGATCTGTTAATGTTGAATGATGACAATGGGAATGTTGTCATTGCTGGAATTAAACATGATGATCCTATTGTCAGCAGCCTGGGACTAAAAGAAGGTACATAGAGGGCATTGCATGGAGTTCAGCTTCGAATCTTTAGCATACGATGGGTTAAGCTCCGCCCCTTAACCACATAGGACACGTGATTAATACATTTGGCTCCCACCTATCTGGCTGCATTCTACTAATGATTACCAGCCATGGCTGGGTGGGAAATCCGTGTGCTGCCATTGGATGCTCCAGGAAAGTAAAATTACAGAAAGGTGAGTATACAATTTTCCGTTTTCCTGGAGCATCATGACAGCACACGAAGGGATTTAATGATCACACGAGAGAGGGTAATGTCAAGCTAGTTTATGTAATGTGAAAATCCAGATAGGATAACGCTTCTACCAAATTGAGCTGTAGTTAACAAAGATGGATCGACTCTGTAATGACGAAAGAATGTATTTCTGGAGGACCAGATGGCCGCCTTGCAAATTGTCTCAGCTGAGACCTTAGAATGTACTGTCCAAGACTTTGCTAGCCCCCTTGTAGAATGTGCTTTGATGTCTTTTGGAGGAGTAAGTTATTTCATGCTGTAGGACTTTCTTATCATCTTGACTATCCATGATGCTAAGGTGCTGGATAAGGCCCCCTGTCCTTTCTTATGGCCCCATGGAATGGCAAATAGGTTGTTGACAGCTCAGATTCGGTAGCCTGCAAATAATCTTTCAGTGTAGTGATGACTTTCAGGCTATGTGGGTTTCCAAAATCATCTTGGATGTTGTGACCATGGATAAGAATTGTGCCATAGGTCTCAAGCCAACCCTGTCTGGAAAGAAGACGCAGTAAGTCTGAGCTACCCCAATGCATGGAGTTCTGATATACGTTTAGCCGAGGACATTGCTAGAAGAAAAACCGTCTTCAGGGTAAAGTTCCAGAGGGACATAGCTGAAGCAGGATAGAATGGAGTTTCCAATTAGACTGATAATACTAGGGACAGGTTCCACTGCGGAAACAGAGGTTTCATAGGTGGGCAGATTTCCAGGCAAGCTTTTAAGAATTGCATGACTGATGGATTCAGGGCCCAGCGACTGCTTGAAAGGGCCGATAATGCTGATACATGAACTCGAAGAGTATTCCAACCAAGCCCTTGATCAAGACCATTTTGTAGGAAACTGAGGACATCAGGACAATAGGCGTCGAACTGTTGTTGGTCTGCTGTCTGCATAAATTTATCCTATACTCTTTGGTATGTAAAGTTTGTGGATTTTTTTCTTACTTTCAGTAATGTGGAAATTACAGCTTGTGAGCATCCCAGACTTAAGAATTTCTGCCTTTCAACCTCCATGCCACTAGGTTTAACATTTCTGTAAATGGGTGGAGCACTGGACCTTGTGTCAGAAGATCCTTTCGAGCTGGTAGGTGTATTGGTGTTTTCATGCTGAAATCTAATAGGATTGGGCAGAGCTGTAGCTAGCCTATTTTGCGCCTGAGGCAAGAACAGAAAATTGTGCCCCCCCCCCCCCGATGTTTTTTTGAGGAAACTAAATAAATAACAAGGAATTAATGATATTTAAACCGTTTATTTCAGTTACATAAGAAACATAAAGCTATGTAACTTAACATAAATAACAACTTCATATTGAGACGCCGCAACTGAAGCGGATCCCGACAATTATGTCTGGATCCACCCAGCTGCGGGATTAACAGCTGGCTCTGCCTATCCAGAGGCAGAGCCAGCTGTGCCCGCACCCTCCCCCGTCCGTTCCGCCAGAATGGCCTGCGCATCTTGACGCGTGGGTTTATACGCGCGAGCCGATTGGCTGAAGATTACATTTTTTATCTCAGCACGCTCAGCTATGCGCCCTCTGGCAAGCTGACGTGCCGGAGACAAGATGACATGACACACTGCACGTGAAGGCAGCACGCCACCGCTCCGCGCTGCTTCGCGTGCAGTGGGTCCAGTGAGGGCCCAGTCACACCATAAAGAGTGCGTTCAGACTCTGTAACGCACTAGAACGAAACCCAGCCAGCTCACTGTGTTGTGGGGCGGGAGGGGGTGTGGCTGCGCATTGAAGTCAATGGCACCGCAGCCATGCCCCCCACCCACAGTGAGATCGCCGTCACCCGAATGCGTGACACATCAGTGCCTGTGTTCCGGTCCAGTGGGATCTGCAAAAAAGTAGTGCATGCAGTATTTTGGCAGATCGCACTGGACCAGAACGCAGGCACTGTATGGAGTCCATACAGTCCCCATTGAGCATCCCCCCACATAATTTTGACTATAATTTAAAGGAGAACTATGGGGTCAGGGCTTTTCCCCATAGTTCTCCTTAGGGTAATGGGAGGACACAAACTAGCGTCCTCCCTTTACCCTAGGCTCAGTATACCGGGAGCTACAGCTCGCGGTATACTGAGACGCAGCAGCTGAAGCGGATCCCGACAATTGTGCCGCGATCCGCCCAGCTGCGTGAGTGACAGCTGGCTCTGCCTATCTAGAGGCAGAGCCAGCTGTACCCGCCCTCTCCCCCGTCCGTTCCGCCAGCCAGCGCTGGCGGATCGGAGCAGCGAAAGGGGAATCCAGATAGGAGAGAGCCATGACAGGATCGAGAGGTGAGCGAACCCGGTATGTGTTCGCTCACCTCCCGATCTACTGAGCCGACCTGTGACAGTCTCATTGTCACAGGTCGGCTAGAACTATGAGGTGAGTGAAAAGCACTCACCTCATAGTTCTTCTTTAAATAATAGAGATAAAACTAATAGATTAGATACTAATGTGGAGGCAGGTACACAGGTGTCACACATATTACTATCAGTATATCGCTCCCCTTCTTCTCCATCACTTCTACAGTACAGAAGTGATGGAAAAGAAGGGGAGTGATATACTGACTGACTGTCATTGTCACAGCATAGTACCTGAAGGCTGCAGCTCTCCCTCTCTGTCCTCTGTGTCAGACCCGATTCTCATCAGGGATCACCTCAGGTTGCCTATGCTGGACTCGTCACTCGACCTTGGGACCTCAGCCACCTCACGGCCACACCTCCCTCGCTGGGTCCTCTGGCCGGCGGGAGCTCTCCCGATTCCCTCTCTTCAGTTCTCACCGCTGGCAGCGTGAGAGAGCTGTGGCACCGCTGGCTCCTCAGATCGGCACTGGCAGCGTGAGAAAGCCGCAACACGGCGGCCGCAGGCAGAGCACACTGTTTAAACTTTGGCCGCACTAAAAAATCTTTGGGCCGCGGCGCCCCCCCCAACTGGCGGAATACCAGTGTCCTGGCTGCGCCCCCACCCAGCCTGCACCCGAGGCGAGTGCCTCACTCGCCTCGCTCTTTGTACGGCCCTGGGATTGGGTCCAATGGCCTCCTTGGCCAGTATGGAACTGTTGCAATGATTGTGCCCTGAAAGGTTACTACCCGCTGTAAGAATTTTGGAATCAGAGAATATGGAGAGAAGGCAAATCCCAGGCTGCACAGCCATGCACAGGTCAGCACGTCCACTACTAATGTGTGCAGGCAGCTGAATCGGGTCACAACATCCTTGGATTTGGTATTGCTCAGGCTGGCGAAGAGATCTATTTGAGGAATACCTGATAGAGTGATGATCTGAGTGTAGATCTCTTGATTCAGTGCCCATTTGTGCTTGTGTAAATCTGAACAACAGAGAAAGTCACCCCCAAGAGATAGAGCAGTCAGGTAATATTAATGAGATTGCGACCAAGTCAATATTGGTTCTACTTCCTTCATTAAGGAATGACTGCGTGTTCCACCTTCATTCCGTATATAGGTGCTCGATTGTCTAATCACAACTGTACCAGTTTGTGCCAGAAGGTCAAAAGGCTGCCCTCATTTCAAGCACATTGAATGGAACTCATTTGGCCTTGAAGGAACATCTTCCCTGGGCTGCCACATTGTTGTGATATGCACCCTAGCCCATACGGCTTGCATCCGATGTAATTATTGAAGGTTGATTGGGCTGAATGAGGTGATGGCAAAGCAGATTCTTTGTGTGCATTCACTAGCTTAATGACTTCCTCATTAGATGAATGATAGCTGTCTTTTGGTGCTCGTTGTTTCTGTCCCACTGTGTGAGAAAACCCTGTTGGAAGATTCTCATGTGCCACTGACCATTGGAATTGTGGAATATAGTGACCCCAAAAGACTCAGGCATTTGCGTGCTTGCATCCAGGATGGCAGTATTGCTTTGCGAAACCTTGAGTTGAATGGTCAGGATTTTTTCTGATGGTAAAGATACAGCGTTGTCAGTGGTATCCAGAAGGGCACCTAGAAACACTAGCTTCTACGATGCCATGATGTGTGACTTTTGGAATTTGACGATCGAACCAAACTTCTGAAGGCTCAAGACTACGATAACCTTATGTTCCATCATAGTATGAAGACCTCTTGTCTGAGAAGTGCCACCAGTGGAAGAAGGATCGTCGTGAATGTTCATGGTGCGGTTGATATGCCAAATGGAAGACATACGAGCTGCCAGTAAAGGCCCGTTACTGTGAAACGGAGATATTTTTAGAAATTCTGATGGATATGTAGGTATGCATCTGAGAAGTCTATTGAAGACATCCAATCTAGACGCTGAATTGTGGGGATAACTGATTGTAGAGATTCCATGCGGAAGGTAGGTATTTCTTCTCTTACTAAAAATAGAAGCCGGAGAATAGAAGCCGGAATATTGTTCTTCTTGTGGGAGTGGACAGATAGCTGCTTTTTGGATGAGGGAGACTATGTACTGAATAAACAGGTTGGCTTTCTCGTGGTAGGTTGGTAGACAAGTTTGGATAATCCGGTCTCGACGAGGTCCTCTTTTGAAAGACCATTTGTGACCTTCCCTGACAGTGGAAGTAAGCCAAGGATCCTTGATTTGATCTTCCCAGGTGTCTGCAAATTGATAAAGACATGCCCCACCTGTGTCTGTGTGTGTGTGTGTGTGTGTGTGTGTGTGTGTGTGTCTCTGTCTGTGTGTGTCTCTGTCTGTGTGTGTCTCTGTCTGTGTGTGTCTCTGTCTGTGTGTGT